CTAAAAACTGACAGTCATCACGTTTTCAAGTAATTTCATATTTTATTTTGATGTAACACAATGCAGTGATATCTAAGCAAGAGAGTTGTTTACTTACTTTATAATTAGTCAATAACGCCATCCTTTTCTTCATTCAGGCCGAGAGCTTGCACGAAAACAAGAGGCGGGATTTATCACACAAACCAATCACATCCAATCATAACCGATCATATCCAATTATAGCGCGACGGAGGCATTGCCTCCTCTCACGTGACTTTCCCACATTCTTCTCAGTGAGCCTCCAGAAAAGTCACGGCACGCATTAGGGTCTTTGTAGAAAGTCTATGGACCGAAGGGAGGCAAGCCTCCATTCTAACTTTACACAGCCGTCAGAACATATTTTATCTGGGGGGTGCTGGGGGGCGGGGCGGGGCTTGATGTTGCAGGGCCACGGTGGTGGATTTTTGACAAAATCCTAATATTAAACAGCCCAAACTCTTATAGATTAACATACACATGAAGAGTTATATGCAAACCAATATATATTTGGGATTTTAGGATTTCTCAAGAATTTGTCTAGACTAAAGTCTCAAATCCAAAGAGATATTTTTTATAAAAGTTAAGACTTGTCCATGCCCTCCTAAAACGCCTCGTTTAAACACACCCCCACATGTCTATGTCACTGTGTGGGAAGATTTGCATAACACCGCTCAAATGTTCACACAAAGAAAGAAGGCGTAACTTTTATTCTCGCTGTAGTATTGTTGCTGCCGCCATGTCGTGAAGACGCTTTGTGTTTCATTGTGAAAGCGAAACTACTTTGTTTGGTCTTCCAAAAGAGGACGATATCGGCTTCGTCATGCCTAGAGCTGATCCGTGCTGGTCGCTGAGGAAATACATCAACTTCGCGCTGTGGATCGCCGGATCGGCTTTCACCGTGGACGAAGCAGAGTCCAGCCTGGGGTCGACACATGTGGTTGCTGCAAGCCCGCCGGCCACTCCTTTGTCGAATCCACCAGCCGCGCCGTTCTCAAGCCCGCCGGCCGTTCCTCACTTTATTAGCATTTTATGGAGGACTGTTTCCTGAACCTGCAGAGTAGCCTTCAATGGGTCTGTGGCTCAAAGGCTGTTTCTATAAAGTGGGGCAGTTCCAACTTTGCAAGGACAGTCTGGCACTTCTGACTCACAGCCTGTAAGTAAGATTTTTTAATATTTAAAGAATTTGCCACTGATGATTCAAACACGAGTTTGAGCAGTGTAGAGTAGCGCTTGTTGTTTGTCCTTTCTCCGATCACAAATGCAGACATGGTTTTATGTTTACGCGGCGCAATACGCAACGCAACGCGTAAAAACACAGTACAAGTCATAATAATCAGTAATTATGTCCCCACTGGATGCAACAAATGCCTCGTTTATAATGGGTTTTATTGGTTTTGTCTCGTCGTGCCGGGAGACACAGCATCATAGTATGTTAAGGGACATAACATTTCTGTCACACCCTTGAGGTATTCGGCCAATCACAACGCACTGGATAACTGGCCAATCAGAGCACACCTCACTTTTCAGACCGATGGGCTTTGTAAAAATCGACGCGTTTCAGAAAGTTGGGGCATAGAGGAGAAACAATAATGTACAGTATGTGGAAAATAATGTGTTTTTTTTTACCTTAAACTGCATAAACACATTTCATTATAATAATGTTAATGTAACAATGTTTTTTTAGCAACATCATATGACCCCTTTTAGTAAAATAATCTATTTTGAGACAGACAACACTGAAAAAAAAGTCTGGTAACTGAATAAGATGATTCACTAACCACTGTTACTGATTCAGATTAATTCAGTGAAAGATTCATCAGACGGATTCAAACCGGTAACTTAAGGTGATTTTGACAGATTTTTGAAAGAGTAAAGAAAATATTTGTTTGTGCTTTAATCAGACTACACACCTTTCAACAATTCAACAGCAAGACGTGCTTTTGTATCATACCAAATTCAATTCAGACTGCAAACTCGCATTCATAACTCCAATAAAATATGATTTTGCGGCAACAGCGTACAATGAAACGTGGTGCAGAAAACCATTTCTCTGCAGTCTGTCCTAGTTCACAATTAAAGTGAAGTCCCAATCGCTTTACACATGACAGATCTGTCTACAATGCGAGAACTGGCATTTTTGCTGAGCTTTGATGCTTCTCTAATTGCTCCTTTTGATGCGAAAGGAACTAACCAATGACAGAGCAACAGGGGGGCAAGAATGCTGGCACAAAACTCCCCCTTTCATTACCCAAAACAAGCTGCTGCCTTTCCTTTCAGAACAGCAAACACACTTTAAGAGGAAAACAAAATATTTGCCTAGATAAATGCTGACTGACCCAGGAACACGAACACACAGACTTGTCAATGAAGTAACAGTTGGCACCTGTGGCCCCTTCGTCCAGGCCGTAAAAAGCCTCATTATGCCAGTAATATGATAGGAAAGAGGGCTGTATGGTTAAAATATCAAAGAGCGGTGGAATGTTATATATTTTCACAAATATCACCCCATATATATACACATAGACATCTCTTTATCTCTCACCGAGCAGGGGCGCTGACAGGATGTGTCTGATCTCTCGGCCTGGTCATCAGTAGAAATGTGCCGACTTCATCTACTGAAGTCTAAACTACTGCATTTCTCTCTATTAATCACTTTCTGTCCCTGGGCAAAGGCACGAGTCTGATTTGGCTCGCACAGACCGCTGCTCTCAGAATGTCACGCTCTGTTCCCATCTGTCTGGACTGCGGTCCAAGCACTGTTTTCAATATCTCAATCATTTTAGGATTTTAAGTTAGATTTTAAGACTGTTACGACATACAAAACACACTCCAGAAGAGTCGTCTATAATGGCTGCCTGTATTCCTTCGTCTGTGTGAGCCTATTCTGCCTGTTGGTATTCAAAATATTAAAGGAATACTGTAGTTCACCCAAAATTGAAAATTTGCTGAAAATTTACCCTCAGGCCATCACACATGTAGATGAGTTTGTTTCTTCATTGGAACAGATTTGGAGAAATTTAGCATTGCATCACTTGCTCACCAGTGGATCCTCTGCAGTGAATGGGTGCCGTCAGAATGAGAGTCCAAACAGCTGATAAAAACCACAATAATCCACACCACTCCAGTCCATTAAATTAACATATTGTGAAGTGAAAAGCTGTGTTTGTAAGACACAAATCCACCATTAATACCTTTTTTTTTTTACTTCAAACAAGTCCTCTATCCATAATATTGCTTTTTACCAGTGAAAAAGTTGTCTCATCACATATCAGGATCTGTTCATGAGCAAAACCAGTTCTAAACAAATATATTGGACTCTTTTTTTTTTTTACTGGAGAAAGCATTATGATGGATTACGTATTTTAGCCAGAAGCAAAGATTTCAAGTTAAAATGCTTTAATGATGGATCTGTTTATTACGAACACGCAGCTTTTTACTGCTCAGGGCGTTAACTGATGGACTGAAGTGGTGTGGATTACTTGTGCCCCCATTAATACCTTTTTTTTTTTTTACTTCAAACAAGTCCTCTATCCATAATATTGCTTTTTACCAGTGAAAAAGTTGTCTCATCTGAATCAGGAAAAAAATATGCACATATCAGGATCTGTTCATGAGCAAAACCAGTTCTAAACAAATATATTGGACTCTTTTTTTTTTTTACTGGAGAAAGCATTATGATGGATTACGTATTTTAGCCAGAAGCAAAGATTTCAAGTTAAAATGCTTTAATGATGGATCTGTTTATTACGAACACGCAGCTTTTTACTGCTCAGGGCGTTAACTGATGGACTGAAGTGGTGTGGATTACTTGTGGATTATTGTGATGTTTTTATCAGCTGTTTGGACTCTCATTCTGACGGCACCCATTCACTGCAAAGGATCCATTGATGAGCAATTGATGTAATGCAACATTTCTCCAATCTGCTTGGATGAAGAAAAAAAAACTAATCTACATCTTGAGCCAGAGAGTGAGTACATTTTCAGCAAATTCTCATTTTAGGATGAACTATTCCTTTAATACGTCAAAGCTCTGGATTTGCAATATGATCCTGACAACCTGTTAAAAATCTAAATACCTCACAAAATGTACTAAGGTGATGATAGTATCCACACAAAAAAAGAAAAGAAAGGAAAAAAGCATAAATAATTAAATACCAAGTGGGAAAAAACTGAACTATTATGTTCATACATCTACAAATCTGCAAACCTAAAATATTTACTTCATTGGTTAAAGACATTTCCATAATCTTTTTGTTGTTTTGTAGAATATCCTTGATTTATTGGTTTAGGCTAAGGGCTTTAATAGTCCAAACTGTGTTCTGCATCGCACACTTTAACCCGTGAGCCACTTGTAACAAAGTTTGGGGAGGATTACAATGAATGCGAATCATTTGACGTTATGAGACGTGCAGACACACACAAACATTCGAGAGTTTTCCTCGGCCCCATCCCATCCTCGTAGCAGGCTACAGTAGCTCTCAGGATTGCGTAACGAGCATGTCGTACCACAAAATACATTTCAATTCCCATTTATTTACGAGGGAGACTGACAGAAAACTAAGGCGGTCACAAAAGTTAGTGAGCCGCCTACAGACAACTGGCCAGCACAGGCGCTTATGACCAAAAAGGTTTCATTTGAACTTTCAAACATACATAATACGCAGAAAAGTTTGATTCGAACCTTCAAAGATAAATGAACGCGTAAACATATTCGGGTTGAATGACCTGAACATGCACAACGTCAACCAAAAAATGTTCGCTTTGAACATATATGACATAATAAAACACAAATTCCAGAAAATGTTTGATTCCAAACGTTCGATTCGATGCGTCTTTCAACAGTTTTCATTCGAACGCACAAAGTTAAATTCGAACAGATATATATATATAAAAAAAGACGCTCAAAATACTGCTTCTGTAGGCACCTCGCTGTGCTTTTAAACGGAATCTTGCTCTGTCGCGGTTATTAAACGTATACTCACTTTTCTGTAGGCAAGCTGCAGGTAGTTATAAGGAATTCTTCTATTGAAATCTTGAATGACATCCTCACTAACTTTATGCATGGATCCGGCTCCAATTTTTCCCTCGGTGCATTGATTTATACAATGCGCCCTATAGAGAATCACTTCAAAAATCTTATCAGTCCGAAAGCTGTCAAAGCGATGCTGGTCACTGCATTTCAGCCTGCATCTGATTCTGGTCTGGCGCACTTCAGAGAAACTCTTCAGCGCGCTCTCCATGCACCGCACTACATTGCCATAATCTCCTTTATAAAACGCCTCCACTCCGTTATCGTAAAGCAGATCGAACGGTTCCAGGGTGGTCGATGACAGTAGAAGTGACTGGAGGAAACATGTCAATAAGCCGTAGATTTTGGAGTTAACATCCATCTTCTGAAGCTGCACAAGCAATGGTGCGCAAAATAATGCGCTCTGGGAGTGAAGAATAAACACAGTCCCGCTGAGTCTAGTGTGGGATCTCACAGAAGAAACAGGCTAATGAAAGTGACGGCTTAACTACCGTTCTAAGCTTAAACGCAGTGTCGTTGTCACTCATGATGAATGACCCATTACTGGTGACATTTCAGCAATGATGACCCCCGTCCCCCCATCCATTCTGCGCTGACTCCTCCCCTAGACCCCTACAGCCCACACAAGAAGGAAATAACAATGTTTACCATGATGACGACCGCAGCTGTCTGACTTCTTATTCATTGAACAGCGACATATTGATTTAGAACATAAAAAGTACGTTTAAAACACAAACTTAAAGTCTTGTTTCTATTACAGACACAGAACTTTCTAGTGAGATCCTCACAACGCCTTCGAAAGCGAAGACCTCTCGTCGCCGATTCAACGTCTCCCTCTAGAGGATAGAAATCAGCTCTCCTGAAAATCCACAATGTTCAATATACGTTTATACCAACCATTACAACACCAATCCGATGCTATCGTTAGATTAAAAACATTTTAAACGAGTAGGCTAGGCCTACATGCAAGGGGTAATTCAGGTGCTAAAGCTTCCGCTAAGAAAAATAGTCCAATGCAACACAGAAAATAAATAATCAAAATCATTAAACACACAAAAAATATTTTGTTCTAAATGTATTGTGTAAGCGACAATATAGAATTTCTGCCTGATTAGCCGCCAAATTAAATTCGCCTCTACTTTTCACAACCCCGTCACGTTGGCGTAAGCATACTGAATATAGAGATACTGAATCACAAATACTGTCTGTGAATACTGAATTGCAAAAATACTATTTAAATATGAAGCCCGGTGTTTTCAGCGTCTGCCATCTCACTAAATGAGGACATATTACATCAACAACATCCCCCAAAACTGCTCCCTGAGAGTCACTTGATGAGCATTTGACCCAAAATGGTCATGTCCCAAACAAAACTCTTCACGGTAACCCGTCAAAATAAAAGTTTAACTTGAAGAAATTGTGACAGAAATATATTACTGTTGTACAGTAAAATGTACTTACTACTACTACTCCTAATAATAATAGTAATAATACAAATTTAATTAAAAACGTTATTTTTAAGGAATAATCACACAAATTTCCCTCCATGTTTTATTTTAGCAGTAGCCTAAACCAAGCACTGTGTTTGCCAAATACATTTTCGTTTGATTAAAAAAATTAATTAATGTTTCATGTCATCATTTGATTACCAGAAAAATTTAAGTACATAACACAGAATTGACTAAATATTTCATAGGGTCCTATTGTTTTTTTTTTCCAGTTGTGATTATTAAAATGTAATTAAAGCAGAATTTGGGAACATCTAACCCCACCTAAATTTTTTATTTTTATTTTAAATAACATGAACTTCATAGGGCCCTAATCAGTGGACTATCCTTACATTTCAACAAGATGGCTATATTTTTGTTACTAATTCAAGCTCTCTCAACTTGTTATATTTTACCGTTTGTCAGTTGATATAAGATCACAGAGCCCCCTCCCTTGATACTCTTGAGCTTGAAGACATCTAACAGTTTTATCCTCAACATTTAATACCACGAATATTAAAATGACATGATAATAAGTCATAGTAAATATTTGAGTCGCAAGATGGTGCCAATAACCCATTGAAACCAGCGTTTGATGTGAAACCAACAAGAAAGCATCACGCAGTGACAAGAGAGACATACTAGGTTACTGATTTAGATTTTTAATACAAAAAAAGTTAAATACTGAAATTATTTAATTATAAAACAAACAAACAAGCATGAAATGCTGAAGCTGTCTTACAAGCTTAGAATCTTCTTCGTCTTTAAAAAATACCTTAAAATATTATAAACATCCCCACAATTAGGCCTACTACTGTAACACTATTACTGGGACATAACGCCACCTTCCTCTGTGGTCAACGCAGAACTGTTAGTTAAGCAATCCCAGCCTTCTCCTTTTTAGCAGCTAAATTGATTCACAGGTCTAAGTTCAGTGTGGCACCCGTGCCACACATCTAAACATACACCAGAAGCTATTAAATCATACCAACACGTTGATGTGAGTTAGTAAATGTAAGAATAATATATGCAAATACACAGCATTTTTAGGTATTCAGGTGGTCTCAGGATCATTAAACATAGTCTTTTCCAGGATCCATGGAGACCGGATGCTTGCTGAGAATTTTGTTGGATTGTAGATGCGTCACGCTGGAGGCGCATAAGAGAATGCCTCCGAATAAACATAGCACAGATGCAACAAATGCACCAATCAGAGATCTGCCGACCACATACCTACAAAGACCCAGCACAGGTAGTCAGTCTTGAACGTCAACATTTTAGATTCCTAAAGGCATGATGCTCCAACGAGAAATAATATGAAACAGAACAACACCTACCTCTCCGTCTTTCTGTCATTCTGAAAGAAATCATCTACAATTCCATATATAAACCAGCTGGTTATGCCCAATGCAAACAGACCTGGTGATAGAAAGAAGAACGCAAATATTCATACGGCTGAATTCTAATTGTAGAAGAGATCAAAGACAATTGTAACCCGTTTTTATGTTATCTCACAGGAATATAAACTTACACTAGTTACTGTTAAAACCACAGTAAAACATAATATTGTGAAATATTATTACAATTTAAAATAACAGTTTTCTATTTGAATATATTTTTAAATGTAATTTATTTCTGTGATGAAAAAGGTAAATTTTCAGCATCATTACTCCAGTCTTCAGTGTCACATGATCCTTTAGAAATCATTCTAATATGCTGCTCAAGAAATTATTAATAATGACTACTTCTATTATTATCAATGTTGAAAACAGTAATTTTTATAGAAACATTTTTATAGTTACATTTTTTAGGAATAGAATGTTCAAAATGATTTATTTGAAATAGAAATCTTTTGTAACATTACAAAATGTCTTTACTGTCACTTTTGGCAATTTAATGGATCCTTGCTGAAGAAAAGTATTAATTTCTAATAAAAAGTTTACATGTAAAATATCCAGTATTTTTATTAACCTTTGATAGAGATATTTTAATAGAAAGTTCAAAAGAATTTATTTAAATACATTTTTGTAACATTATAAATGTCTTTATCCATGTCTTTTATCCAGCATCCTTGAAAAGAAAGAAAAAACTTTTGAACTGTACTGTATGTGTATTTTTATTCTCCTTTGATAAATAGAAAGATCAAAATAATTAATTTGAAAAGAAGATCTTTTGTAACATTATAAATGTCTTTGCTGTAAAAAAATACGTATAAAATAAATACTGTTCCTTTAAACTTTCTAATCATCAATGCATGTAAATTGTTTCCAAAGAAATATTATATTAGTTTAACTTTAAGTAAAAACCTAGAAATACAACAAATACTGTATAAAATCACTTCTATACAAATTCGGTTTCACTCCGGTTTCTGGCTCCAGTTTATTTGTGGTTTTTTAAATTTGTGTTGAGCTCACCACCACACACAGAAAGGATCCCCCCTAAGAAGGCAGCTCTATCCTTCAACTTCTCGTTCTCTTCTATACATCTTGTGCACTTGAGACCAGAAATGGCCACCAGCGCTGCAAAGCTTGAAAAGATGATGCTGATGATCATTACTACTCGGCCCACCTGGATTTCATCTGCAACAACACACAGCAGCGATTAGAACAGAAGTCAGACGACAGATGGATCCATAAACCACTGCACAGATACTCACAGGTTTGATGAAGGAGAGAATTGTAACTTGTGCAGTGCACAATAGACGAACTGTCTACTGAGCACTCCATCCACAGTCCTTTGTATTTGTCCAGAATCACGGTCTTGTCGTTGTCATATCCAAGTATTTTCCATTCATTTGTAAATGTGCCTATAATAAGGCCACATAATCCAGTAATGGACAGAATATAACCGATGAGCTGAAGAGCCATTGATGGATTAGAAGATGAATGCACTCAAAGAGTTTTCAGTCGGTAATACTGTGTGTCCACTCTAATGTAATGCAAGCTGAGAAATCTGGGCTGCTATTTATTATCGTGAGAGTAGGTGTGAATCAACTGTCATGTCATTCGTGGACAGGACATTAGGTCAGATTTCCCTGAAAGCAGTCTGGAAATATCTAGCTTGAACTCCTCTGGTGTGAAGTAGCGCTCAAAGTTTTGGGTTGGAAAACAGAAGGTTGTTGGTTCAATTCCCTTAAAGTGGTCATATGATGCAATTTAAAAATTTCCTTTCTCTTTGAAGTGTTACAAGCTCTTGGTGCATAAAGAAGATCTGTAAAGTTGCAAAGACTAAAGTCTCAAATCCAAAGAGATATTCTTTATAAAAGTTAAGAGTCAACCACGCCTACCTAAAACGGCTCGTTCTAACACACCCCCACATGTCTACGTCACGATGTGGGAAGATTTGCATAACACCGCCCAAACGTTCACGCAAAGAAAGAAGGCGTAACTTTTATTCTCGCTGTAGTATTGTTGCTGCCGCCGCCGCCATGTCGTGAGGGCGCTGTGTTTCGTTGTGAAAGCGAAACTACTTTGTTTGGTCTTCCAAAAGAGGACGATATCCGCTTCGTCGTGCCTAGAGCTGATCCGTGCTGGTCGCTGAGGAAATACATCAACTCCATGCTGTGCATCACCGGATCGGCTTTCACCGTGGACGAAGCGGAGCCCAGCCCAGGGTCGTCACATGTGGTTTCCGCAAGCCCGCCGGCCGCAGCTTCGTCGAATCCGCCGGCCGCGCCGTTCTCAAGCCCGCCGGCCGTTCCTCACTCTAGCCCGCCGTGTTAAACTACTTTTTTGTCCTTCCAAAAGAGGACACGACTAGAAATCAGTTGTTAAGTTGTATTTACAACACTGTTCCAGAACACTTCAACCCAAATATTCAGATGTGTGCAGCACATTTTATGGAGGACTGTTTCCTGATCCTGGTAGAGTAGACTACAATGCCGGCTGTTCTGACTCACAGACCGTAAGTACGTTTTCATTTTAAGGATTTGCCACTGATGATTCAAACGCGAGTTTTGAGCAGTGTAGAGTACGCGGCGCGATGCAATGCAACACAAGACAGTATAAGTCATTATAATCCGTAATTATGTCCCCACTGGATGCAACAAATGCCTAGTTTATAATGGGTTTTTAAAATAAGTCAATCCGGATACAAGCATGCAAACTGTTGCATTTTTATTCTGATTTACTAGCATTAGGGTGGAAAGAGATGAGTAGCGTTTCATGTGAAATGATGAGATAACATTCAAACTACATAAATCAGCGCATTCCTTCTGATGATAAATGCTTCATGATCATGATAAATCTTATGGTTTGTTTAACACCTATTTACTCACAGACAAATCTAAAAGATATATTTATCGTTTCCATTTATAATCATGATTCCTCCTTTTTGCGGGTTATGATTGTAACAGGAAACAAATGGGTGGGTGGGCAGATGGATACCAGTAAATCAGGAAGGCAAGTTCATGTCATCCACTAAGACTAATAGTGAATAATACTACTACAAAATGTATTTATTACTGTTTATTTGACTTCTAAAACTGATTCATTATTAATTTATTCAGGATTTCTTATCCCAATCGTTTGAATGGTAGTGTTGTCTGATTTCTGAAGGATCATGAACCTGAAGACTGCTAAAAATTCATCTTTACCATCACAGGAATAAATTACATTTTAAAAGATCTTAAAATAGAAAACAGTAATTTTTAATTGTAAAGATGTTTCATTATTTCATTACTTCATTATTTTTCATTACTGATTTTACGTTTAAAAAAAAAAAATCAAATAAATGCAGCTTTGATGAGCATAAAGACTTCTTTCAAAAACATTAACAAATATGAATTATAACAAACTTTTGACCACCAGTGTATGTGAGTATTTCTATCTTTAACGGCAAGGATTTTTATGCTACTGTTTTTTGCTTTTTTTTTTCAATTCAGATTTCAACTTTATGTGAAGATCAGAATAAAATAACCTGGGAAACATTTTGCAATGCCTTCATTTATTTATTTATTTATTGTTAAACATAATTTATTTGAGTAAATTACCTTAAAAACATACTTTTTCAATATATATTGTGAAAACGAAGAATTGTTTTTTTGTTCAGACTCACGCAGAACTTGTTTGTGTGACACTTTGAAGTAAACACTAGGTTTAAAGAAACAGAAAGAAACCATGCCAGAAACACCAGTGTGATCTACTGTATGCTTTGGCTCTCACACAAAAATGTATTCCAGTACTCAAGATGATGACTGTACAAACACATACTCTTTAGTTTTATCGCACGAGTCATGTATTCCTGCAATTCCTTGTGATTTCATTCTGTTACATCTCCTCAATAAGCCACATGATTTGAAGTCCCATTTTTTTGTCCCAGCCACAAAAGGACAAATTTAATAAGTTTAAAAAAAAATATATATATAGTGCATTAATAGTGCATAATGGCAAAATTTAGTGCCATCTTGTGGTCCTTCCTTATACTGTCTGATTGGAAAGCACATTATCAGCGCTGCATAGCAAACTGTTCACTCAAAAATCATTCAAGTTGTTCCAAATCTGAGTTTCTTTCTTCTGTTGTGCACATTCTTTTTGAATACCTTCTTCTGTGCTCAACAGAAGAAAGAAACTCATCCTGGTTTGGAACAACATGAGGGTGAGTAAATCATTTTTAGCTGAACTACCCCTTAAAGTAAGCATACTAAATATTATACTAAATGCATCTTTATTTAAGAGTGGTTGAATAGAGAAGAAAATGACTCTTTGACTCATATTCTACAACTAAAAGCCCTGTTCATGCCTAGAACGATAACTACATTAGTGTCCACACCAACAGATATTCTGTTTAGGCTATTATAAGTAATATTTTATTCCCTGCTACTTCAAATGCTCAAGCTCTCAAGAATCCACCAATATCCAGTCCAAAAATATAAGTAACAAAAATGTTAATACATCTACAGGATAATATATTTATTTTATCAGTTAATAAAATAAATTAAATTATAATTATAAAATAAAAATATATACTTAATATATTACATTAGACGCCATTTATATAATAATTATATATTGGGTTTTCTGACATTTTGAAATATTTAATTTGACATCCGTTTTATCATTAAACCTTCCTATCATGCAGGGTTAATTCAGGATAATCAGGCCATTTCCCCCAGTCATCTCAATGGCAAAATGTGTCCCAAATGACCTGAATTCACTCTATATAATGTTAGGGTGTAATGTCATCTTACTGACTTACTTTTGAAACTTACTAAAAATATTAGCTATAAAGTGTAACTGGACAAACAGTCCAAACGTCAGTTACTTGTTCATGTCAAAACTCATAGTGTGTGCCCTACAGGACTGCGGCTGCCGCTCTCAAACCTGTCCGATGTCATTCCTGGAAACACAGCCCGAGGCCCAACGACACATAACTATGGGAATATATGTGGCTTTCTCTTTCTCTCAAGTGTGACTGAATATGAGGGATTTTCTGAGGGAGCATTACTTGTAGCCTAGGCTACTACAGGTTACTTGTAGGCCCTATAAACACTGCAGAGCAAGCAAATAAATAATAATAAAAAAAACTACAAATGACTTACTTATAATTCCCTCTGCATATTATGATGGGGAAAAGTCTGTCGAAAATAAAAAAGCTTTAATTAAGTTCGACTCGAGATTCAAGCCTGGAGTTTCCATCTCTGCAAAAACCAACAGGGTAGACTTATTTTCAAGTAGTCTGATCGGTATTTTTTATTCAACAGAATAAGTTTTTACACGCATATCGAACCTGTTTGAGATGAATTAGCACAGTGAGTCGACACACCCTCATGTGAGCACCTGTACCGGTTTTTCCTGAAGATGTGCCGCAGGCTCATCGGCCCGAACAGAGTAAATGAAGAGAATTAAAGCAGCGCTTTATTCCACATCCACTCCTGCGCGCCGACACACCTAAAAGCTTCCACGTTACACTCACGGAGGAGAAAGTGTCGAGGCGAGCGGTTTCAAACTGTTTGGAGGTTGTCAGCTCTGTAAAGACACGACACGACACGACAGGAGACGAGCGCTCGGACCGCAGCGGCGGTGTTTCTCTCAGGTAAGCCGCTGTCATCCATAACAGCCAGGTTAAGTAGCGCGTGGTTGGATGTGGTGTTAAATACGATAAAAATGAACACTTACAGTTGATTACACAGAGCCTAGGTGTTCATGTATGGTGGGTTCCTTCGCTCCTAGGTGTTTTTTTTAATGAGAATTAGGAGTAACAAATAAAATTAAAAAAATGCAGTTTACAAGGTGATTTTTTTTAAATGCCGCAGTTCGTTTTACTACTAAATCAGATTTAAAAATGGAAAAATAGAAACTTGGAAAAAAATTAAAAATACAACTGAAACGGAAAAGGAGTAAATAGACTCAGAAAGCCGTCCGTAATACTTTTTTTTATATTGTAGCTAATACTACTTATAGCTTTATTTTTTAAGACTGAAATGAATAGGTTTAGCGTGTTCTGATGCATTTAGTATTTTGAAAGTAGGCCCACTTGAATATAGTCTAATTTTAGGTATAGCCAGTGTTGGGGGTAACGCATTACAAGTAACGCGAGTTACGTAATCAGATTACTTTTTTTCAAGTAACTAGTAAAGTAACGCATTACTTTTTAATTTACAAGAGAATATCTGAGTTACTTTTTCAAATAAGTAACGCAAGTTACTTTTTTCCCCCAATGTATTGATTGACAGCTCTCCTGTCCCCATGTTGAGAGAAATCAGATGTTACTGTAGTTCTAAAATAAATATGAATATGCATTATCTCACTCACAAAAAACCCCCCCACAGATTCAGTATTCCTCAAAATGAATAAAAATAATGCAACTCAGAATATGACGCAAACCTGCAATAATTAAATGCTAAACATCACAAATATCCTTTATGTATTTAATCCCATTCTATTAACCAATGTCTTTGCTTCTGACCTTCGATGATCCAGTTGAGCAAAAATTACTCTAGACAACATTTGTGTGTGTTTTTTTATTGCTGAAGTGTGTTGAAATGTCTTCTTCTGCATTCTACTGTACGGACGTAAATGTACTTTCCCTTCAGCCTGAGGCTTATTCATTTCACTTTTGGTGTGAAAAGGCTTTTATATTTGCCAAAAATAGAACTTTTTTTTATTTTAAAAACAAACAAGCAAGCCCTGTCCAGATTTAAAAAGTAACGCTAAAGTAACGTAACGCATTACTTTCCATAAAAAGTAACTAAGTAACGCAATTAGTTACTTTTTTATGGAGTAACGCAATATTGTAATGCATTACTTTTAAAAGTAACTTTCCCCAACACTAGTTATAGCATGTGCTATATGTAGAAGGTGCTTATCAGAAAATCGAACATTTTATGAATTAGCTTTGTTGCATTTCACTGCATTTGTTGAGTTTTCTCTGTGATAAATTGATTTTAAAAGGACAAATGTTCCATATAACCCCCTATAGCTTATATTATGTAATAAACACAGCATGTATGATGATTATAGCCTACACAAACTGTGACATTTTTAAATACGATCGAAACAAGTGTTTTGAAGTAAAACTGAAAAAAAGTTTTCGCTGAATTATTGCACCTCACACTGCAAGGTACTGCTTGAAATGTAATATTAAGCACTGATGCTCAAAGATCATTTCCCGGTAAAGCTATTAGGTTGTGTGGATGAAATTTAAGAAATATACTCCTGTTTTGTTTCAGATGTTGCATAACACCTGTTTACCTGCAGTTTCTGACCTGCAGTGCACATTGCTAGGAATCGTGGCTGAGATGAACAGCAGGATTTCAGTCATTGTTTCTAGTAGTGGGCGCTGCAGATATTCAGCTTCTTACCATGGAGTGCCTTGAGTCATATTCACAATCCTAAGAAGAAAAAGGTCCAACACAGTAAATGAATGGCACACATATCTACAAGAAATACTTATGGCTGCCGCTGGATGGAAGTAGAGCGCAAGGAAAGTGAGACAGAAGCACAGGAGAGGCTTTCTGTCACCTGTGAGGGATCTGCAGCTATTCAACGCGCAAGTAACCTTGACAGTCTTTGGTATGTAGATGAACCTGCCCAGGAGAGTTTGGCATTTAGACTTCCTCATTCATTAGTAATCCAGACCTTTATGCACAAGATAACCACCAGAATTTGCATTTCATCATGTATATCCACTCATTTGAAAGCTTCCATTTAATTGCTGTTGTCTTGGGTTGGGATGTTGTATGTAATTAAGGGTCAATGACAAAGATGAAAAAGAAAACAAATCTAGTTTAAAAAGCATCTTTGTGAATGTAAGCTGTATATTCATGATGGTGTTGTGTTTGAAAAAACATTTTCCATAATGGTTTTGATTTGAGTGTCAGAACCAAGGTTGCACTATAAATAAATTATTACATACATAATCATTATTTTAATATTTAAAAACTTGAGCAAGGTCTGTCAAGTGCCCCTTTGTGATATAATTTCCTGTTCTGGTTTATCACATCACAATAAAATGGCTTGTTGGTTTGTGATTCATTTTAAAATGATTTAAAAACGAAGACTATAAAGTGCTTCACCACTTAAATAATACAATTCCAGACCCCCCAAGAATTTTAGCATTTAAATGATCATAAGTTTGCTCACTACTTTTCACTGTTCATTTAGCCAAATGATAGATTAATTTAAAATGTGCAACACTGCTCTTCTGTATTTTTAGCTTTGAAAATTATTTTTTAGAAATGTTATATTTTTTCAAATATTGTTTTAAATGTTAAATCAGTTCAATGTTTTTTGTTAGAAATAAACAAATGCTAAAAATAACAAATCGGACCAATTGTTTTAAAACGATATTTAAATGTGTTAAATTGTGGTGAAAGGTTTGCAAACAAAACACTAAACAAACAAAAAACCCTAAGCAAAGAGAACAAACAGAAAGCAAAGAAAAACAATACAAAACAAAAATCAAAGCCGAACAAAACTTCTGAAGGTCACACATTTAACTTCACGGATCCTTTCACTAAATGTATTTGAATCGGATTAATTGCATTACAAACACTCACCACTGACACAAACATTCCCTTTAAAAGTCATTTATTTGGTATTTACAGTTGGCCAGTGGAAGCTATGAGAATGTGCAAAATACAAACACTTTCGCCCGTCACAAAACCTTTCCAGCAGCAGCTGATTGTAAAACAAACCGGCATGGACGTCCTCTTCATATGTTGAGTGAAAAATGCTGAAGTCTCTGTCGCTCATCACACACATACATTTACAACGGCATATCAGGTGCTGAAAGTTCAGTTTGTTTGTTACAGCCTCAAGCAAATCATTTGTAAACCGGTTGTTTTTCTTCCAGATCACATGACCATCAGACAGTTTTACAGCAATACTTTTTATAAATCCCTGAATGCTGAATGACATTTGGCACAAAACCCATCTAGCCAATTACTATCAGAATTGTAGAGTACAATTATCTTTTCAAATACTACAGTGCACCGTGATATGCGCTAGATTGACACAGCACTGAAAGACAGAGACATATATGCACACTCATCACTAAAACACACACATAAAGTGATTCAAAACTGATTTCGGTAATACAATTCCACAAGAAAATGTCCTTAAATCACCCTTTTAAGCGTAGCAGCATGGCAACAGAAGATACTTTCCCTAAAAGTTTATTGGACGCATTTCAGGCCATGCCTTTCATTGGAATGCATCGATACAAACTAGCATATTGTCATTCTCGAGAGCGTAAGATGGGAGCGTTCAGCACTAGCGATCGAACACTGGTCTTATAGAGGCACTAATGCGATACAAAAGTAGTTGCTGTCTTTAGTTGTATCTGTACAGGATGCTACATGTAGCCCGCACAATCATATTTCCATAACCAAAAGCCAAGCGGAATGTAATCCCTTCAAAACACAGGAATATGGAATGTAAGCGATGACTGAAAGCCCTGATAGAGTGATGTGCATATGGCACTTTCCATAAACAGGGTACAAAATTTGACTTTTTTTCAAGCAATAAATGCAAATTAAATAAATAAATAATAGGTTCTTAAGAGGAAACTATTAGATATGCTAGATAAATTATTTTATACGTAGCTAGTATTAAAAACATTAAATGGTTTTGTAAGATATCACAAAAAAAGTGTCATAATACTGTTAATCCCTTTTTAAATTCCTAAAAAAGTAATTGGTATTTGGTCCCAAACTGGTGAGCTCCAACCGAATTACAGATTAATTTAGGCAAAATGTGCAACACAGTTTGTATATAATTAAAAAAATGTGTTCTATTTAATGTTTTTTATTTGCTAGAAACAATTGCAAAAAAAAAATAATAATAAACTTTTTACCTTGCATTTAAGAGATTTGCTTAAACAAAAAACAAACACTAACACACAAAAAAACCCAGCAAGCAACATAAACAAAAAACAGAGCAATGCAAAAAATTTAATAAAAGCAAAGAAATGCAGTGGAAAACAAAAAAGCAAAGCAAAACAAAACCTTTCTGAAGGTTACACACTTATTTTTTCTGATTATTTGATGGAAAAAACAAACAAAAAAACTAATTAGCATTTGGTCCCAAACTAGTGAATTCCAACCGAATGATAGATTAATTAATGGTTATGAGCTTTTGTATACTTTTAGTTTAGAGATTTTTAAAAAATTTGTAATCACTTTATTTTATGTTCTCTGTAAGAAATAAACCATGAAAAAATTAACAAAAATCTGAGAAATTGGGTTTTTATATTTTGATTTAGACCAGTTCTAAACGTACAAAAAAGCAAAAGCAAAAGAAAAAAATCAAAGTAAAGCAATGAATAAAAAATTAGTAAAGCAAAAAAAAATTAAAAATAGCAAAAAAGAAAACTTTTCTGAAGGTTATCCACTTATTTTCATGGATCTTTTGCCGAGAAAAAAAAAAAAAAACCCACGGACACAAACAAATGTAACTTTTTTTTTTCCTTTTTTTTCCCCCCAGTACTCTGTTCACAGAAAGTGCCAGATAAACGCCAGTCACTTGTTTGCTGCCTTGATCTATTTGCTGGTCAGATTTTATGTCCCTGCTTAAAGTAAGTTTGCCACCAAATGCAAAGCACTGCAAATCCGAACACTGATATATTAGCATGAATTGCATATGATGATGCAAGCAAGAAAACAGTTTACATCTGTGCCAATAGCAATGCTACTAACATGCCTTAACTTGTATTTTGTATTTTTATTGAATTATAAATAAAACATAAAAATATATAAAAATAAAAAAATGAGTAGAGATGTTTGTGGCCATCTTTTTTGTTTGTTTTGTTTCCAGATGACAAAATTAATTTAGACCCCATAGAGTTCACATTCAGCCAGCATGCACTTGAACACTGGAGCATATCAGTAGGACCCTGAAGCACCTATGAAGTAGATGAGAGAATCGCTACAGACACTGCAGGCGAAGGGGGAAATATCACAAAAACAAAGGCACCCGAAGACTGAGCGTCTCGAACCCTAGCTGTACGTGAGCCCTCAGTGTGAGTAAAGAGTCTCTCATTAATGATATGAAGGCAAAATGAAGAAGCACTGACAACCTCACCTTGATATTTGATTGATACGAAGACTGAACCTGCTTCTTAAGACGTTGAGACGATGAGTGGAATTTTGCATCTCCATAAATTGGATCACTCCCAGTTTATGCTAACAGTCTCTTCGGGTCGATTGAGGAAAGCGTAAAACAATCAGCGTTTTAAAATATGAATCAAAAAATAAAATAAAATATATCCTCTGAAAATAAATCAATAAATACATGGCACAAACTTGTGCGGGATATAAATTCAAGCTTGTTTTCCATTAAATAAAAACTGCTGTATCCTGAACTCAACATGGAATCAAGACGAAGCTTCATTTATAGATGCCAAGAGAAAAGGGATGTTCGTAAGAGCTGTGCAGTAGATCCCTTCCTGTTCAGTCATCCACAATAACACAAGAACATGAGAAGCAAACAGGAAGCACCCGTCGCCCAGTAGTTCGTAGCTCCAGGGTAAAAGACTCTTTCACAACACGAAGAGACGACATTGGCTCATCTGATGCGATGAACTGAGAAACTCGAAGAGGGGAAAATAAAATAAAGTGTCAGTAGCTTCTGCCGAAAGCCTCAAAGTATTTTTGAATTGCTTTCTCCTCTATTGATTCGCAAAATAAAGGGCTGAACGGACTCATGATTGGACAGCAGTGGAGACTTATGGTCACGGCCTGTAGGGGGCACCTAAAAGAGGAGGAGATAAAGACGGCCATAATTAAAAAGTCATTCGAATTTGAAGAATCATGCTTCATTAGTGCAATGTGAACCTTTGTACGCCTCTGGTCTTGACGGAGGGCGAGGGGAGTACGGGCTGTCTGCGTACGCGTAGCTCGGGTTTATGTTCTCGTAGTGCTGTGTAGGAGGAGGCGGCGGCCTGAAGTAAAGAACGGAGAGAAACATGAGACTCCGGTAGGACTTCTGACAGTGTGAGTAGTGTGTTAAGGAGTTGGAGAAGTGTGGTACCTCGCAGGTTTGTGGTTGCGTGCTCTCTGGTACTCGTCCTCTCTGATGCGCGGCTCTTCTCGCGTTCGTGGTCGGACTACTTCTTCTTGCACTGGCTAATATGACAGAACAGAAGAGAACATGTCAGTGAGAGCGTGCTGGCAGGGGCAACATCACCAGGCCCACACGGAATAATGTGGGTTTCAGCATTGTCCGTTTAAACCGCTTGATCATGCCTCACATCTGATACATGCATTTCAAAGGCCTCTACATTAACATTATATTAATAGTTCTATTAAAATCTCACTGACACTGTAGCAATGTTCTTGCTACCATAATTTTATTATGAATTATATACACACTGTGTATATGCATATGTGTATATATATATATAGATATATGTGTGTGTGTAAGTATGCAGGTATGTATATTTGTATGTATTTAATACCATAAAATTTAAATATATTTAAATAAATGTTATAAATATTAAATATCTATACACACCTATTTAATGTGTATATATATAAATAACATTTATAATTTGTTTTGTACAATTTTATTAAAAATAAAAAATTTATTTAAAAAATCCACACATGTAACTTTTTTTCAAGAGTTATTATTATTTAATATAGTTAAATACATATAAACTAACCAATAACAAATATTATACACACACACACAGGGGTGCATGCGCGACGGAAATAAAAATGCGATGTGTAAATATGTTCAGACTGCTCATTTGCACGCCGACATGGTTGACAGCTGTAAACGCACAATAACTGTTTTAGATCGACTAACTAATACTGTATATGATTTACATTCAATGGCATAAATCTAGGCAATGCGCTGCCAGTTTCAGAGTGAAACGCAAAACTGTGACATTTCATCAATATATGCTCTTCACTTGGCAGCGCTAAAACCGGCACTGCATTTATTTACTTGCCGGCAACATGCTAAAATAAAAGCTTGCTGATTTTAGCTTTGAAAACATTAAAAATCATATAAATTGGGAAAAAAAAAAAAAAAACGGAAAAAAAGGAAATATTAAAATTGTATTTTTATTATTATATATAATATAAAAGTATTATCAAACTTTATTTATTTAGTATTTGTATTTATTTATTTTATAATAAAAAAAAGTAAATAAAGTGCAATAATACTAGTGAGCACCAAACCAAATCTCCAGGTGTTCTCATG